TCTTTATAGCTATTTTGCTATATCACTCATCATATTTTACAAAGCAGTTGGTATATCACTCGGATCATGTTATTTGGAGGATTCACACCGCATATGCTATATATTGATATCAAGTCACTTGGTTGATTACGATTATCAAAACCACTCGGTTGGTTGGATTATTTATTCCTTGACTATATGCTTGGTTTGTTCAATTAACCACATTGTCGGGGGCTACACCTATTAGGTGCATCTGGTCGGTGCACCTGACTTTATTTTCCAGCCCTCCACAGTCTTCAGATTTGGTAAAAGTACTCGGGAGACCATGACGAAGATGATTGAAGCACTCGGCTTTGGAGTAATCTGGTTCGAGAGAAGATTATCTTTTCGACTGCGAAGGTCTCAGGGGCTACTGTGGATATTATGGGTACCCCATACCCACACGGCATGGTTATCCGACTAGTTATAGGGGATAACTTATATCTATGTAATATGTAACCGATCATGACTTGGGTATTACGTTTCCTTTTATATTATGGAGCGGCCTAAAGTCCTGATTCGATTATATTGTAAAATAGATTTAGGAAACCGATACCGTATTGGTTAAGGTTTCTATCTTGTAATCCTGCCCCCCATCCTATATAAGGTGGGCAGGAGGCCCTCTAGGGGGCATGAGACAACCTGATCGTCAGATCTATACTACACCCGGCGGATTCAAATCCCCAAACAGGAGTAGGGTATTACCTCTCATTGAGAGGGCCTGAACCTGTCTAAATCCTTTGTCTCTGCATCCATCCACTTTTAGGTCTCGTGCGCTACCCCCTTTTATTATTGCCGAAATCATGTTTCGACACCGACTCATATAAATTCCATGCATTCTATGGTGAGCCACAAATAATGTTAATCTTTCCTTAAGAAAATCCCAATATCCCAGACGGCAAACTTCAGCAGGAAATGGGCGTTCAATATGAATAACTGATGGAACCATGCCATTTTATTTTCTCACCCCCCAAATTTGGTCCAGCCTATGTTGAGCAATATTTTAGCTGAGAAATGGGCCAATACTAGGCAAATCTAAATTAATAATGGGCCGATTAGTACAAAGTAAACACATTAACAACGATATGATGGCGATGGCGCTCTTTCTCGGAATAAGTTCAATTTAGGTTCCTCAATTTGTTGCCCAGTCTGATTGTTGTCCTTGAACCACAAAACCGGATACAACGCAACCCCCCAACTTACAAAACCAATGCACATAAGGTCCTAAGGCGGTTTGGATAGCGGTTTTGGCTGACGTGGCGCCTACGTGACTGGTTTGACTAGGTCTCCGTCCCACCTGGTAGTGACGTGGCGCTTACGTGGCAATCATATCTCGGAAAAATAATAAAAACCATGGGCCCACATGTCAACTACACAAAAAAATAATTTAAAAATGGTGGGGCCCACGTGGGCCCACATGTCAGCTACAAAACAAAATAAATATGGTGGCGCCCACCTAGTCCCCACATGTCATTCCCTCTCCCCTGTCGGCTCTCCCTCCTCTTTCTCATCGCGCCACGGTGCCGCCTCACAGCCGTTGCCGCCGCCATTGGGCGTCGGCTTGGATCTGCGTGGAAAGGAAGGGCGGGCGGCGAGGAGAACGACGGAGCAAGCGAGCGAGGCGGGCAGTGGGCAGAGCGAACCGACGGCGGGTGGCGACCTTGGTGAGACGGACAGTGGGAGGAGCGAACTGATGGCGGACGGCAACCTTTGTGAGGTGGGGAGGAGGCGGAGGGGAGCGTGGAGAAGTCGATAGTGACGGCCGGCAGGAAGAAGGCAAGTGTGCTGGAGATCGAGCAGAGGAAATCCGCGGTAGGTCCATCGTGAAAGACGACAACGACAAGGACATCGGTGGCTTGGAGGGCCACGTCAGTGGCGAGGACGGGCGCCACCGAGGCCAGCCTCTCACCTGCGGCACCGGCGTTGTTGTCATCGTCCTCTGCAGCCTTACCCCTCGTTTGTGCCGTGGTCGCCGCCTGCTAGAGATGCGTGTGGAGCTCAGCCTTGCCCCTCGCTTGCTCCGGCCGCCACCGCTCCGCCGGCCTGCTTCGGCCACGGCCCGCCCCACCCCTCGCCTACTCTGGCCGGGAGAGAGAGGAATTATTTTGTGTGTAGCTGACATATGGGTTCCACGATTTTTATTATTTTTTGGGATAAAATTGCCACGTAAGTGCCACGTGGAACAAAGATCTAGTCAAAGGAGTCACGTAGGCGCCACGTCGGCTAAAACCGCCCTCCATACTGCCGAGGGACCTCGTTTGCCTGGTTTTCGTAAGTTGGGGATAGGTCGTACTCGGTTTTACGGTTAAGGAACGAAAATCGGACTAGCCGACTAATAGAGCTACCTTAAGTGAACTTATTCCCTCTTTCTCCCATATAACATTCAAGTTATTTGTCCTACGGCCCACGGCCACGAGAGAAGGATGACGCAAACGCAAAGCATATCGTTTCCGAAACTCCTAGTTGGCGATTGATCGCCAGGAGTGATCGGTTTCCCCCCTTTCTCCACGTGGTTTCCTTTTTTTTTTTGTCACCGCATTACTTTCCTATTTTAGTAAATTTATGCATCTAAAGTTTATACATCTCAAGTTTACACATCTAAAGTTTACAGACCCAAAGTTTATAAATCAAAAGTTTATATATTCGATTCAAATTTGAATTTGAATTCAAGTATTTTTAATATATAATATTTCTATATATCTAAAGTTTATGCACCTAAAGTTTATAGACCTAAAGTTTATAAGTCAAAAGTTTATATACCCGATTCAAATTTGAATTTGAATTCAAATATTTTTTATATATAGTATTCCTATACATCTAAAGTTTAAAGTTTATAAACCTAAAGTTTATAGACCCAAAGTTTATAAGTCAAAAGTTTACATACCCGATTTAAATTTGAATTTAAATTATATCCGATTTAAATTTGAATTTGAATTCAAATATTTTTTATATATAGTATTTCTATACATCTAAAGTTTATAAACCTAAAGTTTATAGACCCAAAGTTTATAAGTCCAAAGTTAACATACCCCTTTCAAATTTAAATTTGAATTCAAATATTTTTTATATATAGTATTTCTATACATAAATTTTTTTAACTTTGTTTTTTTATTTTTTTAAAAATTTATAGTGTAGTAGGAAGAGAAGAAGTGGAGGAGAGGAGCGCGCGCGTGTACAGAGGGGCATAGGGATCAATCGATCGGACGCCCATTAGCCACACCCTATGGTTTCCGTTGCTTTGGTTGCTATGACCGTCGTTAATCTTAGTTTAGATCACCATTTCTTTTTAACGAAAAAAAAAGAATCACCATTTCTTAATTCTTTCGGCTGTGATATTACCAATCTGGTTTACACCGTAGGAGGACTTTCCGGTAACAGCCTTAAAAATAAGTTACCACTTGTTTGAATTGGGTTTTAATGCACAGCTTAATATTCCCGTCACTTAAAACCTTTTTTTCTTAACACTAGCAATATGTTCGTGCTTTTGTAACTGATCATACCTATATAATTAGTGATTAACTAGGTGGGTGGATTGAGTATAAATCATGAGCTAGACCCATATAATTAAGAATTGGCTATGTTTGTGGATTGAGGAGAAAGTAGTTAACGACGGTGTGGTTAATTCGCACATACGAAAGAGCACACGACCTCTTGCATTCAGTGAGAAGGAGACGTAAGGACGGCAACTATGTTTTTGAAGCAGTAGAGATATAAACACAAATTAACTCTTAAACTTAGAGCGATTAGAATATTATATACATATAATTAAACATATATCCGTATTTGATATTATTCAACTATTATATGGGATACTTGTTTTCGTTTCTAAATCCAAGAAAAATATGAAAGAAAACATAGTAAAAAAATATTCTCATTTTTGTGCCATTTTTCACCTAGTAGGTCAAAGTCCGGCCAAGGTTACGTTATGTTCGTTTCAGCTAACGGCTGATGAATTTTGTGTACTGATTATTGTACCATGTTTATAGAAATATGATTATTGAAAACTTTATATATCAGCAGTACTGAAACCTAACTTGTTCTAAACTATTTATTAGCATTATAGGGACAAGCAATTTGTCAATAATCTGGCCAATCATTTCATTTCAAACGCTCCCAAACTAGTTTTGCTTCCGCCTTACAAGGTTTCCGCCATGTAATACGAGCATTTGTGGTATTTGAAAATTTATCTACAAATATAAATATTTTAAACCACTCACTTCGTATCAATTTACTTGTCATTCTTGTACTCAATTTTTTTTCAAAATACTTGTTGTCCTCTCCTCACATCCAAGTAATTTTAGAGATGCATTTCCTTCGTACCTTTCATCAATACAGCTATACTAGTACTCCTCACAAAGAATTTTAAGGCTTGATTTAGGAAAGATGATTAGGATTTAATTAATGAGAGTAGTAATATAATTTGATACACATTCTAGTTTTACGTGAGATTAGCTAGAACGATAGATAAACTAAAACGGACAGAGTACTACTCTTTCCCTATCCATCATACAACTACATTTATCTTTCTCAATCAAGTAATCTCTCATGTGGGTATTAAAAGTACTTTTATCTCTACCTAATTTCTGCTAAAACCCCTAAAAAATACTTATATTTGTCGATGTAAAGAATATTTCCATGTAAACGAGTAAATGCTGCTGGCATTATTCTATCGTACCAAGATGCCAAGTACATAGTCTTTTCGTCCCAAAATATAAGCCGTTTTTAACAGAGATTAAATAGAGATGAAGTTAAACTAGCTAGAGATTATTGGGATTGGTTGAGAAAATAAAACAGATATATAAGTTTATCATATTTTACAATAAATTTTGAACTCTTAAGAAATTGCATATTGGAACGGAGGGAGTGGTAATTATAAACAGACAAACAGTAGAGCTCACAACTTACCCCGTCCGTGCGTACGTAGCAGCACTGCAGCTGTGAAGCAGAGCATAAATCCGATACCAACTCTGCCGCACAAGCTGGAACCGAACTAAAAGCATCCATCCGATCCGGATCCAAACGTAGTACGCGACTCCGACCTCTGCTCTCTTCCTTTTACACCCCATATCCATCGTCCCGCCTTTCTTTCCCTTCTTTCTTTCTATCTTTTCCACGACCGTGCCACGGCGTCAGCCAGCAAACTAATACTAACTACACAAGCCTCCTCCGTTCCTCCTCTTCTTCTTCCTCATTCTCCTCCTCCTCTCGAGGCCGGCCGAGATATCAATGGAAGTCGAATACCACGAGGTGAGCCGCGCTTCGCATTGCATCTGTTCTATCGTTTTCCCATTTTCTCGCGTACTGAACCTGACATGCATTCTTCCGGGCGCCATGGATGGATGGGGGGAGCAGGAGTACGTGCGGAACTCGAGAGGGGTGCAGCTCTTCACCTGCGGCTGGCTGCCCGCCAAAACGTCGCCCAAGGCCCTCGTCTTCCTCTGCCACGGTACGTATGTAGTACTAGATTCAAAGCTCGATAGCTAGCTGCATATGCATTGAGCAAAAGAACCAACCGAGAATGAACTTTGTCTTTGTTTCTCTCTGAAATTTTTAGACGGAAACGAGATTGTTCTCATGTTTCGAGGCTAATTGATTCTTGTTGTTTTGTTTCTGTGTGTTGTTCATCAGGCTATGCCATGGAGTGCAGCGGCTACATGAGAGGTATGAACCTGGCACACATTTGGCTTGTCTGTTTTTTTCCCCTTTTCTTTTGCTTGTTTAGCTTTTGCTTGCCTCAGACAGAGTAGAGCATGCATGCACAGAGAAATCTTTTTTTTTTCTGTGACTTTTTTTTTTGGTTGGACCTCTCCATTTGTTCTGCTGCCACCTGGGCACGTAGCGATTAGGAACCCAGCAAATAAGAACAAAGAAAAGAAATTTTTTAGGTGGGGTTTCACGAGTTAGATGTTGGTAGGCGTGGATATCACAACTCTGCTTCTAGATGCATTGATGGATTCACATGCAGCTTTATTCAGGCTGTGTAATTGTTGGTCATTATACAGTGCTTCTAGATGCTTTTGGCACTGAAAAATTCTCATACAGTCCTGGCCACCAATCTGCTGTAGGCAGTAAATGGTGGAGGATCTCAGTAAATATATATACTGTCTTAATACTATTGCCATATGTTTGATATACTACCAAATTAACATGAAGAACCCAAAAACGTATTAGCGGTTAGTGCTATACCATTTATACAAGATGGTAGATAGTTAATACTCCACTTGCATAATTCTGGTGGGTGCCCATATAGTTTGCTCAACAACACTAACTCTTCTGCATGCTACAAATTCAGTTAAGATAACTTTAAAATATATTCAGTTCAGAGAACCTTAACAAAATTTCAGTTCAGAGAACCTTTCCAATTCTGTCTGCACTGCGATGTAGTACTAGACTACTAGTGTATAGTGCTCGATCTGTCATTAACCTAGATCATGAACTCAGAGAAAAGGGAGGGTTATATTCGCAGTAATAGTGTTCTTCTGTCTCAAGAGGATGCAGCATGCAAGCATCGATCACATCGACATGGATATTGATCAATGTGGACACACACTGCAGTAGCAGCGGTAGGAGTAGCTGCTGCGATTTACTGGCCGATCGACGCATTTAAAAGCCGTCCTGGGCAGGTCGATCTCGATCGAACGATCGATCGATCGATCGATTTCGATCGGTTCAATTCAAGGCAGCAGGCAGGCAGGCAGTGATGCATGCACCTCCCAAAATTAAATTAACTGCTCCCCATCAATCATTCATATGCTTCTGACCTTGAAAACTACCTCCTGTCTCCTCCTCTTTTGGCTGTCACCAGTGGTAACCCTGTTGCCACATCTGCGAGCTCATTGACCTCCATAGTTAATCGACTGTAGAGTGGTCTAGCGATTAGCACGACCATTAGTCGATTTGCACGTGTTGTACAATGTAGAACTTGAGCAAGGGTGATGCATCATTGTTCCTACGAAAAGCATCTCTCACCTTACATTCTATATAGTCACTATGTGTCTGTCATCTTTGTAGCATGTTTTTCTGTTTTAGGACTACTTTGAAATAGAAAAATTTCGTGAGAAGAAATTATCGGGTTTACACTAGTTTTCCTCCGAAAATTCTGTAAAATTCTTACATTTCAAAGCAACCCTAAGATTTAGTTAGGCTTTTCCAAGTCATTTGGTAGTTGCTGATCGATGAGCTAGACACATTGGTAGCCACCAACTAATGCTGCTATTATTGAAGTACTTGATACGTCCTTGAGCCGGAGGCTAGCCAGGTTTTAAGCATAAGCCTGCATAATCTGTTCTGACGGTCCCTTTCAAGCATCTTCTGCAGGCCATAGTTGTCAACAATGCAACGAGTCCCTTCCATCCATGCATGATGCATCCATTAATTTCTGATTTCCATCCATTTATATGAGATCGCGAGAAGGAAATTAGAGAAAAAAAATAAGAAGGGAGGTTGCAGTACAGGTGAGCGGCCTGACCTGCCGGCCCTGACCATTAAGTTAAGCACCAACCACACCGCCAACTCTTTTCCTTAATCTAACCACCATATTTAACACTAATCACACACGATTTAAGCAGACGACACTTAATGAGTTGCTTTAGCATCATTGTTATTGTTGCGTTTAATTTAGCTGAGAGATGGCGAGGCATAATTTGCCACTTGTCGAATCGCCTCAATCTCTATTAAACCATCTCCTTCGTTGTTTGTATGCCACGTTAGTAATTATAAATTAATTAAAATTTTGAGTTTTTTAAATGTTTGAAAAGAAATAAAAATTGGGTTGGGTGGGTGTGGGTGTGGGTGGTTGCAACGCTGCGTCAGCTTGGCTGATCCGGGCTATTTGGCAACCGATCGAAGGAGTGTTGATGAGCATTGGGCACACGACGAGAAGGATGGCCTACGTACGTGCCTGCAATGCAATGGCTGGGTGTGGTTGAGCTGCCATTAAAATTCCTTAATGGAGTAGAGGTTGCAGATCGATCTAGCTAGGCCACCAAGTACTACTACTGTAGCCGTAATGCTTGGGTTCATTCAATACTGCGACTTGACGAATTCATTTCCTGACAATCTTGGCTGTGTACAGTATGAGTAGTACTGTGTGGTAGCAAATTAAGTATTGTGTATTTGTGTTTGTGTAGTGCCAGTTTTACAGTATTATACTCCCAACTGCATGCGTGCACAATACTGTACCCTGAACTTACACTGTGCTGTATTACACCCCTGCAGAATTGGCCCCGTTGATCTGTTAAAAGAGATATAGAAAACTTGTAGGAGTTAAATTCTATATGAAAATTGTCTATTTGGTTCTTTAAATCAAACGATTGAGACTCCAATAATAGTTCTATAAAATTCATATAAAGTGGTTCAAGAAAAGGAGAGTTTGCTGGAAATTTAGCATAAGGTCGAATCACATGGAAACTTTTCCTTCATGCCTCTGCGTTGCTGTAGCCAAGGCAGCAGATCAACCGCTTATTTTTCATATGTTTTTCAACCATGTGCTTTACACTCGTATTTCCATTAAAAAAAACCTTACATTTTTTATAGTTCTGTGTGTTTTTCGATTTCTTGTTTTAAAGGCTTAATTTATTAGCTAGATGAAGTGAGTATGTGACAATATCTGAATCTTTTTTTTATATGAGAAATGGGTTCCTGGATATGTGGAAGAGTAACATTTGGGATTGGATGGATATGGGATGCAGAGTGTGGGATGCGGCTGGCGGCGGCGGGGTACGGGGTGTTCGGCATGGACTACGAGGGGCACGGCAAGTCGATGGGCGCCCGCTGCTACATCCGCAGCTTCCGCCGTCTCGTCGACGACTGCCACCGCTTCTTCAAGTCCATCTGCGGTAAACAACAAAATCTCTACCCTTTCTTCATTACTTCCCTCTTCAACCTCTCTGCTTACTTTACATTCAGCTACACAATTTCAGTACACTATCAAGCCAGGCTCTGTCTGTGTGTAGCTATGCAATGTTTCAACTTAGCTGCCGTTTACTGTACGTCCGTTTTAGCATTAGTGATGACATGATAATTCAGGCACCAACTAGCTTTTAATCCTTGTCGTTGCCCGCTTAGGCTAAATACCTGAATCCAACATATGGTAGCTAGCCAGCTACTTGTCATTTGTCCCCCACCTAATGATGAAGGGGGACGTACGTACGGAGTTTGGCACGCATTGAATCGATCTTGGTTCATCATCGGCAATGGAGGGCTCGATCGGTAGGCCATTGAGCATTAATCATATATATATGATCGTCATCGGTGATGGTACTATAGTAGGGTACCCACTGTTCAGCGATCACCACTACCCGGCAATCACCAGTGCTTGGTCGGTCCTGTGGCAACATTAATTATTATCGGTTTGTTTGGATTGAAGCCAATTTTACTCTACTAAAATCTTAGTAATTTCAATAGCGTCATTTGCATGTTTGGTTTGGTATCAATTTTTTTCACGCTAGTTCAGATTTTATACTACTAAAATTGGTAGTATTAAAATTTGGCCCATGTGGCTGGTTACTCGAGAGGCGTCCGTTCCTGGTTGCTGTTGTATACTGAAGCCTGATATATCGCAGTAAGCTACATTCTCCGTTTTATATTATAGGCCGTTTTGATTATTTTAAAATCGAACTTCTTAAAAATTTGATCAAGTTAATAACAACGTTTATAGCACCAAATTAGTTTTATATTAAATCTAACATTGAATATATTTTGATAGTTTCTTTGTTTTATGTTAAAAATATTGCTATATCTTTTTCATAAATTTAGTTAAAAATAAAGAAATTTGATTTAGAAAAATATCAAAACGACTTATAATATAAATTATAAAACTAAGGTAGTGATTTCACAGTATAACATATTAGTGCTACAGTTACATGCCTATGCATTCTTTCGTGCTGAATAGCTGAATGATTTGTGATATTTATTGGATGGTATAAACGAATGAATTAGCTGTTATAAAGTTTCAAAATACGCTTAAAACAGCGTTCTGAAAAATTCATATGTACAAAGTTTTTGCAAAACAAGAAAAAGAAAAAAAAAATCGCACCATTTAGGCATTTACTAGTTCGGAAAGCAAATCCATGGTTTTTGTTCATTAATTCGTTAAGTGCAGAAAAAAAATATACTCCCTCCGTTTCAGCTTATAAGACTTTCTAACATTGTCAACATTTATCTATCTATTATATACTAAAAGTCCATGAAACATGCTACAAACGCTCTCAAGCCGCCACATGGCGCTCTAATAAAATAGAGAAAATCCTAGAAATTCTAAGAAAAAAGCAAAACATCTATCTCTTGATTTTCACTTAAATTAGTGGGTCCAATATACACCGTTAGATAAAATTGATCTTAAAACAAACTAAATACCATGGGTCCCACCTATCCTCTCCTCCCGCGCATTGGCAGGTGGAGTATATACGTACGTACATGGTACGTACGCTACCTCCCCCCCTTTTTTTTTCCTTTTTTCTTCTTTTTTTCATTTATATATATAATGGATATATTTTTTAAATAATCATAATTTTATAAACAAAGAATCTACCATCATATAACTTAAGCCGGTGTACTCTGTACTATTATTTTCAAATAACGCACTATTTTAAAATAAGTTTTACATAATTATATCGTGTACCTATCAAATAAACAATATCTATATTAACTAATTTATACGGGTACTTAAACTGATGGCTCCATTATATAAATCATTAGATCTACTTTTTATTACATTGGTCTATTATTATCAAGTAATGCACTGTTTCAAAATAATGCCTACACCATTATATTGTTTACCCATTAAATTAACAATGTAAAATCTATATTAACTAATTTACACTTACACTAGAACTGGTGGACCTATTATTATAATCATCGGATCTATTATTTGTTAATAAATAAAGCGTCCAAAATTCTCTTTTTGCCCGCTGCATAATGCAACGTCTGCACTTTTGCCTTTCGCATGTGTGACAAAGCATAGTGTTTGAGACATCTAAAGTGATCACAACCGCTATAGCGCTACCGCTTTGCCACATATCAAATCATATATGGATATGATTAATTTTGTTAATAACATGAAAAGAAAATTAAAGGTGTGATGCAGCGAGAGAATAATTAAGAACCATGGGTTGTGTTTTTCTCAACACTAATTAGCTCTGTTTAAGTTGAAACCGAGAGTTGATTACATAACAATTATAATATATTTGTGTTATGTCGTATTTGGATTTTGTACTATTTGTTCGTACATGTGAAAGGATTCATTACGTTATAAATGTGAGCGCAATATTAACGAATATCAATAGAACTCTTACTACGACAAGGGTGATAAAAGGGAGTTTAAGGCCTTCTCTTTTTTTTCCCGATTCCATATTTTGGATTTTTGTTTGCACGCTTTCCAAGTTTCTAAATGGTGTCTTCTTTAAATAACATTCTAACTTTTTAGGAGTCATGTCATTTATTTATACCCTCAAATAGCTATCACATAAATTATATAATTCATCAATTTCAACTATCCTAAACCTTAAGTACTACATATTTTTTTTCATGCGAGCCATGGTGATCAGGAAATTGGTGATCAACGGATCATCAAAGTCGTAAGATGAATATATAAGAGTTACTCTTAACAATTGTAAATAGGTGTCAAAATTAGTTGCTATTAATTAGACATCTAATGGCTTGCTAGCCACAAAATTAATTTCTCTCTACATGTATATAAACATGGACGAAGTTGGAACAAATATTACCATATGTCCCATACATATATATTGCGCAGTTAATATTCTAATTAGTCATTTAAAATTCCTTAAAATACTCTCAAGCTGTCACGTGGTGCTATAATAAATTAGGGCAAATATTATAAATTCTCAGAAAAAAATCAAAGTATCTATTATTTGATTTTCACTTAAATCGGTATGTCCAATATTCCGTTAGATTAAATTGATCTTAAAACAACCTAAATACTACGAGGTCCCACCTCGTCATAGGTACGCACCTACATACGCGGGTACGTACGCCTCCCCTCCCTTTTTTTCATTTTTCTCTTTCTTCTTTTTTTCCTATGTATATGTTTCCCTCCCTTTATTACTATATCATGCGCCTTCATGAGACGATTTAATCAAAAGAATTTTGAGTACCTTGCACTCACATTTTTAATTTGCGGCCATAATACACGGTATGTATATACATGGACTGTATGATAATTAACTATCAATAGTTTCTAATTTACTCGAGAAAAAAACATGATTCAAAAATCATAATTACTTAATCCATCTCCTACTCAAAAGTTTGTGAATGGTTTTCTAAGATACCTTAAGAAAAATAGAACCCTTAAATTATTATAAAATAATATTATCCAAACTTTAGTTTGCCCTAAATCTATGAGACAAAATTTCTGAACAAACAATAATTTTACCTTTCAATAATATAGTGCCCGCGCATACGCGCGGGCCACCTTCCTAGTTCATATAGATGCTAATAAATCTAAGCACATATATTTGTCTAAATTCATTAACATATATATAAATGTGGACAATGCTAGAAAGTCTTATAATATGAAACGGAGAAATTACTTCTCTGACTTCTACCAGAAAACCACAGCAGGCCAAACAATAATCTTACCTTTCAATAATATAGTGCCCGCGTATACGCGCGGGCCACCTTCCTAGTTCATATAGATGCTAATAAATCTAGGCACACATATATGTCTAAATTCATTAACATATATATATATATATATATATATATATATATATATATATATGAATGTGGACAATGCTAGAAAGTCTTATAATAAGAAATCTGACTTCTACCAGAAAACCACAGCAGGCCATTTTAAAAAGACGTGGATATTAGGGAATGACCTAATATGAAATAATTAGAAAGGGTGAGACGTCGAACCCAGGTCGTCTAGCCCACCACCTCGTGGAGCTAGCTGCAAGAGCGCTGCGCTTTTCTCACTTCAGGCCATTTTCCCAGGTCTTGCATGGATGCCTGCCTCACTGTGACTGATGCTGCTCGCATTGCAAAATTTGCAGACATGGAGGAGTACAGGAGCAAGAGCCGGTTCCTGTACGGCGAGTCCATGGGCGGCGCGGTGGCGCTGCTGCTGCACATGAAGGACCCAACGTTCTGGGACGGCGCCATCCTCGTCGCGCCAATGTGCAAGGTAGCTCGCTGCATGCGCGTGCAGAAATATTCTTCTGAATAATTTGATCTGAGAAAAATTAAGACTGAAACTTGGTGCGTTTCCTTCCGATTTGCTGGTGTTCAGATATCGGAGAAGGTGAAGCCGCACCCGGTGGTGATCTCTCTCCTGACGCAGGTAGAGGACGTCATCCCCAGGTGGAAGATTGTTCCCACCAAGGACGTCATCGACGCCGCCTTCAAGGACCCTGCCAAGCGCGAAAAGGTCCGTGCAAAAACATTTGCAGTTTTTTTATTTCTGTTTTGTGTTATCAAGTCAGTTTCAGTAACATTTGCTTCAGTTAACATTGGTAGTAGCCCTATGTTAACTGTTAAGTTTGCTAGAGAAACCCACATGATGAGTTAGTTCAACATGATTTCTGAACATTTGATACAGTGGTCCAACAGATTTGTTGTCGTTGAGCATATAAACTCAGTTTGGTGTGTTCTTTGCCATGCCATGCCAAATTTAACAGATCAGGAAGAACAAGCTGATATACCAGGACAAGCCGAGGCTCAAGACCGCACTTGAGATGCTCAGGACCAGCATGTACGTAGAGGACAGCTTGTCCAAGGTATGTACCCCTCGTCTTCAAATCAACTCAATATATGCACCAATTAGTTCTCACATCTTTAGGATGGCACTAAGATCACTTGAGTATGATCTTGGCCATGTAAGATGACAGTAAGATTATTTGAATTTGATCCTGACAATGTAATGTTTTTTTTGGCAGGTGAAGCTGCCGTTCTTCGTGCTGCACGGCGACGCCGACACGGTGACGGACCCGGAGGTGAGCCGGGCGCTGTACGAGCGCGCCGCCAGCGCCGACAAGGCCATCAAGCTCTACGCCGGGATGTGGCACGGCCTCACCGCCGGCGAGCCCGACCACAACGTCGACGCCATCTTCTCCGACATCGTCGCCTGGCTCAACGGGCGCAGCCGCACCTGGACGGTGGAGGACCGCCTGATGAAGATGATGGCGTCGCCGGACAGGTTCATCCGCGGCGAGAGGGGCGGCGCCGCTGACGTCGACGGTGACGCCAAGCGCGGCCCTCCACGGCGGCGCGGCGGCTGCTTCTCCGGGCTCGCCGGCCGAACGCATCACCACTCGGAAATGTAGCTTTGTAACAATGTAAAGATTAGAGGCTCCAGCCTGCCTAGAATGGTCAATAAGTGGCACAGTGTGCATGACTTCGTGTATTATAGAGGTGTTAAGAGTCAAGACATATGCCAACTTGCCAAGTAATGTAATGTATCACAAACCATTCCTTTTCCTCCAATCCAGTGCAAATTTGGTCAAAAAAAAGTTTAAAAAGATGCTTCATGTAAGCAAGTGGAATGTTCTGTTCATACTGAAACATATATCGAGTTTCCAATAAAGATTACATGTATAACACCATATGGCTTCTATGAGCAAGACCAAAAAAGACAGTAGCTTACAGTAGTGCCTATGATAGATTGATAGTATTAGTAGCATCCCCATGTGTCCAAAGAACTAGCTATGTATTCAGCCATGGCCATTTTGTCCGTGAGGTATGAAGCAACCAAAGAACCAAGGCACCAATTTCCTTTCCAAGTATTTCTACCCGATTTAACTTCTCCACATGTAGTTACTATAAAGTACAAGTTATAGGATTTTAATGAGTTGTGTGCCGTTGTCATGTTGAAATTTAATACATGCCACCAGCTGCTGCAGATTAGGCTTCCTGGTCGCCAAAGATGCGTTTGCGGAAGTCGGTAACCATGAGGGGAAGGCCCTCACGCAGGGGAACCTTGGGCTCCCAGCCCAGGAGCTCTTTCGCACGGGTGATGTCAGGCTTGCGCTTGTGTGGATCATCCGCAGTGTTCGGACGGAACTCAATGCGAGCATTCGGATCAATGGTGTCCTGGACAACCTTAGCCAGCTCCAGCATGGTGAACTCACCCGGATTACCCAGGTTAAATGGTCCTATGTGCTCCCCTTCCATCAAGCTCATCAACCCTTCCACCTGAAAGAATCATCACATTAGCAGCTTGATACACGCATTATCAATAAAATTAGATGGCAGATCTAAATATTGGTTTATAATTAAAGAGGGGATTGCTCCTTGTATATAAACAAAAAAAGATGTGAGATGATCTAATCACCATAAACCCTCACCGTCAATCAAAGTTACTGGATACCTAAATATATACTGCAAGAAGTCAACATTCTGCTCTTCAGCAGATCATAAATGTGTACTCAGAGTATTATGCAGAGGACATCAAGTATATTAGTCATTTCGGTGATGCTACTTTCATGTATGAGACAACAAAACACAATTATATGCTCAGGGAATGTATGCAAATAAGGTAACAGGCAGATATCAGGTCATTGATATTGTTCAGGTGTCTCATCATGTTATAGATATACCCACCAAATCAGAGACATATTGAAAGCTCCTAGTCTGCTTGCCATCACCATAGACAGTCAAAGGTTCCTTCCTCAGTGCCTGAAAACCATAATTGCAGAAACAAGATGTCAGTATCAAAGGAACAATCAAACCATCTGTAAATTCGGGAGCCAAAAGAGGAAGATGCAAGTGACGGCTACCTGAGCAACAAAGTTGCTGACAACACGGCCATCATCAATGCACATGCGAGGACCATATGTGTTAAAAATCCGAGCAATCCTCACCTAAATACAACACAATATCATAAATTAACATAATTTCCAAAAGAAGAAAGTAGCCTGAATGCTATCCATCACAAATAACCTAAACAGCATAAACCTCAAGGTTGGCACCACGGTGGTAATCCATGGTCAACGTTTCAGCTGTGCGCTTGCCCTCATCATAGCAGCTTCTAACACCTATTATCGAATAAATAATTTTCATTAAAAATCTCTTGTGGAACAAGCAAAACATTGCTTAAATGAAACCACACAGTATATGCCAAAATATAAGGACTGCTTTTTGGAAAGGGTTAGCTGTTGCAGTGTTGCTGTCAAATGTCAAGTTGAAGAAAATACTCCTTTCTCTACTGTTGTTTGATTCTTCTCTAATGCTCTATTGCTGTCACTATTTTGGAAAAAACTATGCTGACTTGGTGTAGTTTTTATCCTACTCTTCCCTTGTTAGCGAGGTATCCAACAAGTGGCTGACCCTCTCGGAGCTACTTCTACCAAGCAAAAGTGTAATCTTCTAAACGAAAGATTCAAAGCATGGGTGCCCTAAAAATTAGGACAGCCCAGCCACAATCCCCAGCATTTGGAATTCCAGCCAGTAGCCCTCCTTTAAAAAAAAAAAAAACAAACATCTATATTCTCAACGGTTCATATTAGCAGTGGCTCCATAGTACTATAGCCTTTTCAAATCACAGGGTAATCCAATAATAGCTTATTTTTCTGTCAGTATTTTGATTCTTAGAAAAAATTTCTAGAACAAATAAACATAATTTTGTTGGTTTCTGTCCTACAGTAAAATTATAAGAAATTAATACGGAGTATTGACAGCATAGGTGTTCCCATACTCTTATCTGTTATCCAACAAACAACTCAGTCCAAACATGAAAGGTAACTATTAAGTTAATTTGTCAGTTAAATGCTGAGACATTAAATAATATGGCAAACAAAATATTGGCAGAGAATTATTACCAATGGGGTTGACATTGCCCCAGTAAGTCTCCACCTGAGGGTGCTGGAGGGGATCTCCATATACCTCACTGGTGCTGGTGAGGAGAAATTTTGCCCCAATCCTCTTGGCCAATCCAAGCATGTTCAGTGTCCCAACCACGTTGGTCTTGTGTCATCTCAAATGTTAAGGCTCACAGTAACCATTTGTAGAAACTAAAAGAAACCGCTCATCAACAAATCAAAACACTTGCTTGTTTGACCTTTCGGGACAGACATTCCGATTAACAAATCGGCACGAAATCCACTAAACTAGATCTAGTTGTTGGAAAAAACTGTATGCAATCTTGACTTGGTTTCTTCCACTAAAAATCGTTTTTTTTTCACAGTTACTTACCACAAAAAATAAATAGAAAGCATAATTTTGATATTCAATCCTTTTTGGAGTTAAAACAACATTAAGCAAACTTCGTTTCCATCAGTTCATGAAGTTTAAAGCAACTAGAGATGCGGGTTGCAGAACGCCAGATCCAAAGATCTTTAATTAGAGCAATCCAGATATGCCAGTTTATGTATCAGAAAGCAAGCCCTGACTTCATGTTCAGATGGAGTATAAAGTATGCAATGAATTTGGCCAAAAATAAATGAGAAAGGTTGACCAGACAATCAAGATGAACACCTCAGCTCCAGAATTACAGCTGAAATCTATTCACACTCTATTTGTTATCGGAAAAGGCTATACGTACTAACTTTTTCTTACTAAATTCTTACTAACACGGATATGTCATGCTATGAGTATATCTAGATTTTTTATAACGTCCATCTACCTAAATCAAGCAGTTGAATATATATGCTTAAAAGAAGGAATTTCCCCATCCAAAACTAACCGAATCCAGCAAATTCACCTAAAATCGACAAAATTTAACTAGAAATGGGAAAGTAAATTAAACAACCCAGCTATCAGTTAGCACCAAAACTTAGATGAGCATCGAGAAAGAGTAATTGATGAGCAAGGATATGATGGTCTTGATGGGGTTGTACTTGTAGTGCACGGGGCTAGCGGGGCAGGCGAGGTGGTAGATCTGGTCGACCTCGAGCAGGATGGGCTCGACGACGTCGTGGCGGATCACCTCGAATCGCGGGTTGGCGAGGTGGTGCGCCACGTTGTCCTTGCGCCCCGTGAAGAAGTTGTCGACGACGATCACGCTGTCGCCGCGCTCCACCAGGCGGTCCACGAGGTGGCTCCCGACGAACCCGGCGCCGCCCGTGACGAGCACCCGCAGCGCGCGGCGGCGGAGGCCCAGCGGCACCTTCCCCCCGGCGGACTCGTGCAGCGACGCCGCCGACGACGACGGGAGCGAGGAGAGGTGGCTGAAGGTGGTGGTGGTGGTGGTGGCGGCGGAGGATGAGGCGTCGGAGGAAGGGGCGTAGAGGGAGAAGAGGGCGGCGGCGAGGAGCATCCCGGCGAGGGCGAAGGCGGGGCGGTGCTCGGCGGCGGCGTAGCGGGCGGCGCGGGTGAGCCAGGAGAGCGGCTTGGAGGGCTTGGGGGAGTACTCCCCGCCGTCGGAGGCGGAGCCCGGGGCCCCCGCGCCGCCGCGGTACGTGAGCTCCGACGCCATCTCCGGCGAACGTCTCAGATGTAGAAAAAAAAAGCTTCTCTCTCTCTCACTGAGACGTGGGACCCACGCCCCTATAATTGCGTGTAAGGACCAAGGACGGGAGGTTGGAGAGTCAGATTTCTCTCCGCGCCGTCGGCGAGGTTTATCGCGGCGAGGGAAAGGAAGGGGAGAGGTGTGTTTAATACGACAGCCACGCTGCGGGGTGGTGTGGGTTGATCTGGTGCGTTGGATTTGAGATGGACGGTAAAATTCGGGGAGTTTAGATTTTTTTTTTCCGCGAGCAGAAAAGAAGAAATGGACTTGGCTGTATATTGCGATTGACTTATCAGCACAATTTAATAAATTTTCAAATTTAATTTGATTTTGAGATTTTTTGTCGCAGTTTTTCTTTTATCCCTACTTTTAGATAGTTTAAAACATGTATATAAAAGTTTTATTTATAAATTACCTTTTATTTGCAAATATGTGCTTTTGTTTTTTCCTCCATTATGCAAAATGATGGGGCTACTACCTTGGGGTAATTCTTCACGTTTCAACGTTTGGGGGAATACTTATGTTGCGAACAATAAAATTGCGCTAAAAAATGTGAAACATTTCGAAGAGGCATACAGATGGATAACAATATTTTATTCAACCATAATTTGATCCGTAAAACAAACTGAAATAATTATATATTCGTATCTAAAATTTATCTCCACGCCAAATCAATTATTACAAAGATAAACAAGTGAAGCAACCAGAAATTAAAACTTAATTGTACTACTTGTTTATTATTCTGCTTAGAAGGTGTTTTTACAACTGCAGCTTATAATGGAAAAACCAAGTAATACAAATAATTTTAGAATAGAACTTCTATAATTCTACTCTTGACAGTACAAAAGTCAAAACTGAAAAAATTAAAGTGATGGAAAAAGAAAAAAAAACCTAGACTAAGTTCTGATTTTCAAATTTGGTTATGACTTTCACACCTCAAACAAACATGCTCATTAATTATTTACAAAGTATGATTCAAGAGAACGTAGCTTAAATTCCACGTGTAAAAATTAACTACATATTCCCACGCATCCTTAGTGCAGTGTTGATTCTCTCGAACATGCTGACAAATAAGGTATGGAGACTCGGATGAATGTGTTGGTTGATATCCGACTCATTTTTTCGGAGCTGCTGATCATGAATATAAGATGTGCATGTATACATTCAAAAGGGTGAGTGTTTACTTGTTGTGATCGTCTATATTTGTAACTTGTGAGCACCCCTTTGCCCCGTGAGCCACCTCCGTCGGTTGTGGGCAGCACACAAATTAATCGAATAAACTCCCTACTATTTTGCTGAGTGTAGATATATAATTTATTTTATTAAGAAACACACTACAATGCAGACACTTACAACGCGTACAAACTCACTCTTATAAACATGTGCATACATTCTATTTCTATGAAGACTAAAAAACAATATGTATAAACGTACACACACATTCTACCTCTTTAATCACCTTCGAAAACACCATGCTATGTCGCAGCAGATCGCGAAGAGAAACAACGACAATAGGGCTAATAACACGTACTCGTACTACTTTGGACCTGGAGATATAATATATCGTAGTCGACCTTATCCTCGTTAATTAGTCACCGTTCTTCTATTTGCTACAAGATGACACCTAATCCGCTCTAGCCAATTGCCACCTCCGCTTGCTAACTACTCATTTGGATAGTTGCAAAATGAAATGGGCGTTTGTAACTCCCTTAAATTTATACTATCTATGTAGTACTACATGCCAAGGATGTATGACTGTTTACTACGTGTAAAAGATAAGGAGATCTGAAATATATTTAGTGAGTGCATTTTTCAATCTCTCTCTCAACACTGATTAATTAAGAAGAGGTAGAAACCGTAGAAAGCCAGCAAATTGCTGCAAATGTGGAATGTACTATTGCACCTTACTCTTTCATGTTGAACTTTCAGCGTTTGGACGCATGAGCTCGCTTTACGCGCCTCCAGATGACCTTAATTACAAAACCGCACCTTCCTGAATTCTTTTCACATCATCAGAAGGAAAACAGAAAACATGGCAATCCAAGAGCGGCTGCCTAAATTGTGTATCTGTTTTTTTCTTTTCCTTCTCCTCACAAGAAAATAAGTCTTGCATGCCCAAATTTGCCAAACTTCGTTTGGTTCAGCAGAGAAGAAACTTTGATTTCAATTGTTCCATCAACATCAAGTAGGCATAGTACCATCATCAAACTTGGACTAGCTGGATGCATGGTTTGAGTGTCTCTGCATCTGTACCGGAAATAGATGAGGTGCAGTGCAAGTCACTGTTTGGAGTGTGTTTTTGCATTTTTGGAGGGCCAAAATCGGGATTGCTATATAGTATTCGAATAAAATTTGGGGATGAAATCTTACAGATTTTGGACCATTGGATCCATGTTAAGATTCGTGCATCGGCCTCTCTCCTCTAACTCCGGCGGGCTCCCCTTCTTCTCCGGCGCCAGCGACACCCCAACTCCGGCGGGTTAGGGTTTGAGGTTGGGGTGAGGGTAGGCGGGGGTTGGGGGAGGGGGAAGAGAGGGGTTTCCTCGGAGCTTAGAGGGATGGCCGTGGGCGGCGGAGGACCGGCGATGGGCGGTGGACTCCGGCGGGCGGCGAGGCGGCGGTGGCGCCGCCGAAGCTGCGGGGATGGAGGAGGGCGGTAGGCCGGCGTCGGCGGCGGGGGCAAATCAAGCGTAAGATTAGGAGGAGGCGGCCGGTGGTGGTGAATCCTGCGGCGGGGAGCCGCCGGAGACGGAGAAGACGGCGGGGCGGGGGCACCTCGTCGTCACCGCTGTGAGGAGAAAGAGGGGGGGGGAGGGGGATGGGAGGGGGCTCGCCGGGAGGGTCTCGCCGGCGCCGTTGACTCTTTCCGGCCAGCCGGCGAGGCGGGCGGCGGCGCGGTGGGGCGGTGGTGGCGGGGAATCGCGGGAGAGGATAGGAGGAGGAGTGGTGGCGGCGACTCAGTCACGGGGAGAAGGAGGAGTTAGGGTTAAGGGGCTGCACGAATCTCAAAGCATATCTAATGGTCTAAAATTCGAATGATAGGAGGTGGGATTTTCTGTCACATGATATATAGACAGCGCCAGGGGCGGATCAAGAAACAAAAAGTTGGGGGGACTCAACATACCAAGTACACCGATATAAACACATAATCTCAGTACTAAACTATGCTAAAATGCTATTATAAGACCTTTAGCACCTCCTATCTTATCAACTATGATGAAAAAATTGAAGTGGGGGCTTAGGGGGGTATCCATAGGTTTTGTGGGTGCAGGGGCACGTTGGATCCGCCCCTGGACAGCACCACTAAAACAATAGTGCATATCTGTGCGTTGAAATGATGTGTTGTACTAATTCGAAATCGGGCCTTACATGTTAAAAATTTAGAAATATACGTATTTTCTGTAGAATTTGCAAGAAAATATCGAACGCGTGAAGATTTGCAAAAATATACCGCCATCGTGGTTTCGTTGAGCGAGATCGTGGTCTCGCACGATCGAGGCGCGAGAACGAGAGCGGTATCGCTCGTTCGGTCAGCGAGGACAGAGCGCACACGGTGGCCTAGGCGGTGCGATTAGCGAGAGCACACGGTGTCGCACTCTAAAAGTGCGAGAGCGAGCCGGTGGGCCCCGCAACTGCTGCGATGCGCGATCTAGCATGAGAGGAAAGCGAGAGTGCCGGTGGGCGCGGTCTCGCGCAAGAGAGATGCGAGAGCGCTGGGGCCGCGACTGCGATCCACGCAGTCTCGCGCTACAGGAACACGAGAGCGGTAATTAGTGATTAATTACCATAATTAGTGATTATTTAATGATAAATAATGATCAATTAGTTGCTAATCAATGTGATTAAGACATTAATCATTGGCCCCACAGCAGCCCATGCGGTCTCGCACATTGGTTGTGCGACACCGTACGCTCTCGCAAAACCAACACGCGAGACCGCGGGCCCTCCACGCGCCATATCGCACTCCCACTGTGCGATACCGTGGCTGCCCGATCTTCCAACTAAAAAGTCCCGCTATCGCGCTCTAAAAGAGCGATACTGATGCCGCTCTCGCGATTCGGGCATGCGAGACCGCATGCCCGCGCTCTCGCGCGTCTAAACCCGATAGCGACCCCGTTCTCGCGCTGCCAATAAGCGAGACCGATGGCGCCACGTGGCACTCTCGCTCGGTGGAAACACGAAACCGCATCGATATTGCATAACAAACAAGTGACACCGCCAGCTCAAATCTCCTCGCCAATTCGACGCGCGAGACCGTCAAGCTCTCGCACATTGGTAATGCGATACCGTGGCGATCTCACGCTTTTCCGTAGCGAATCTCGGTATCGTGTTTTCTATCCGTGATTTCGATGGTATATTTATGCTAATCAAACCACATCCGGTATATTTCTGAAAGAAAGATCGATGAACAGTATTTTTCAAATTTTTTTCTTACATGTTCTTCCAAATATTTGGCTGTGTTCGGGAGCTCAGTTTGGAAACTTCTCCTTCCGCACATGTAGAAACGATGTCTCATTATCGTATGATTATTATTAGCTAAAAAACTTAAAAGAGTAAAGTTCATCACCGGTCCATATAAACTTGTACCGCTGTGTCATCCTGGTCCCTAAACTAGCAAATCGACCGTTTAGATCCTTAAACTTGTTCGACTGTGTCATCCCAGTCCCTAAACTTGCAGATGACTCGTTTAGGTTCTCCAACTTATTCAGTTGTGTCACCCAGGTCTCTAAACTTGGATTTGAATATCATCTGGGTCAAATAGGACGGTCTAAAGACTTTATATTTAAAAATAATTCATAACTTTTTCACGTGAACTCTAATGAAGACAAACTTTATATCAAACTTGTAGCCCTCGACGCGATCTACAACTTTGTAGTTGATTTTTTTATTTTAAGTCATTTTTTGTCCCAAAATGTAATTTTTAAATTAAAATTTCAAAATCTATAAACATGCAACAATATTTTGGGACCCTAAACAGTTTTAATTCAAAAACTTTTCAACTACAAAGTTGTAGGTCGCGTCGAGGGCTATAATTTTAATGTAAAGTTTGTCTTTGTTAGAGTTCACATGAAAAAGTTATGAATTATTTTTTATATAAAGTTTTTAGACCGTCCTGTT